ATAAAAGCCAAATTTCGCTTCGCCACCAACTTTCCTTGTATATATTATATTATTATGCAACTTCCCCCTAAACAAACACCCACAGAGTCTTCGACAAATAGCTCTTCTTGTGCTAGTATTCTTGCTAGAATTTGTAGATTTCCTTTTCATTTAATCTCAAAAATCACTCAAAAACTTTTAGGTCCTGTGAAGCGGATTCCACGTCGTTCTCAAAACCGGTCTCCTACTTGTGCTTTTAAAATAATATGGATAAGTGCTTTGTTGGTTGGCGAAATTTTGATTTTCTATTATGCCATGCAAAAATGTTCTTGGCCTTATAATCCACATTGGGTATATTGATCTTTTTATTTTTTTATTTTCACTTTGGCATTATCGAGTTTTTTTTGGGGAATTTGCATAGAAATTGCATAGATCTCTTAATTTATCTTGTTTTATAAAATATCAGGATACATCATTGGCCAATCCATTTAGAATTGCATTGATTGCTGATCCACAGATAATAGATAGTTATTCATATGGTCGTACGGGTATAATTCAAAGAATATCAGAAATTTATCCTGACATGTATATGAGAAAAAATTGGATAAATTTACAAAATATTTTTGATCCGGATGCAATAATATTTTTGGGTGATTTAATGGATGGAGGAAGAGAATGGGATGATGATAAGTTCGTTTTCTTTTTCAATCTATATTGAAATATTTAATGTTCATTAATCGAATGACACTTATTTTATTTTAATTATAGATGGGAGAATGAATTTTTCCGTTATCGGCACCTATTTTTACCAAAGAAACCGACAAGAACTCCAATTTATTATTTGGTAGGGAATCATGATATTGGATTCGGTGATAATATAATTCCCAATGCATATGAACGATTTCGAAAAGTATTTGGCAAGACCAATTATAATGTTGTGTTGGGTAATCATTCGATAGTGGTCGTCGACACTGTAACATTGAGTGGATCAGACGAATCTTTAAGGGAAGAAGCGATAGGCCTGATTGAAAGGCTTGAAAATGGTATTTATAAACAAGTAATTAAAGTTGTTTAGGTTATATAGATCATGTATATTTTATCGTACCTTGAACTTTTTAATAGATTCTTCAAATAATCTTCCTCGCATATTAATGACACACGTCCCGTTATATCGCCCACCAAATACCGATTGTGGGCCATTGCGACAAAACGGACATTATATTAACGAAGGATCTGGTTACCAATATCAAAATTTAGTGACTAAATCATTATCATATTTCATATTAGATAATATAAAACCAATACTTGTGTTCAGTGGTGACGATCATGATTATTGCGAAATTCGACATGAAAAGGATCCAGAAGTTATAGAGGTTTCAGTTAATAGTTTTAGTTTTGCTATGGTAAGTTATTGCGTCAATATTAATTTAATGTATGAATATATTTTTGAGTTATTGTTTTTGTACTTCTCAGGGCGTTAAAAGACCAGGTTTTCTTTTATTAAGTCTTTATAATCCAGTGAGTAATACATCATCAGACGACATAAAAAATAATCAAACCACATTCGCATATACGCAATGTTTACTACCAAATCAAATTCGAATATATTTGTGGTACGGGGTTCTAGTCATAACAACATTATCTTGTATATTTTCACATACATTTGTAAAAATTAGGAGGAGTACAGAAATGCTGCCAATATGGCTTAGATATC